TTTAACATTATCCAATATGACAGATGAAGAGAAAGAACGCGAAGCTGAAAAATTATTTGTATTGTTCGACAGATTAAAGAAAACTGGCGTGATGAATGTTGTCGATCCTATTGAAGCAGCTATCAAATCCGGTAAAATGGATGAAATAGAAGAAAGGTTAAGAAAAAAAGAAGAACAAGAAGAAGATTAATTTTGTTAAATAATTATATCTTGATTTTCTTTTAAAGAGGTGAAAATAAAACAATACATTAGCCATTCAACAAACAATTTTTTTATTGATCCGTATTCTCTTTTTATTGGAAAGGAAAAAAAATTTATTTATTCATCTATCGAATATAATTCTTGCGTTCTTTTTACCGTATATGTGAACTTAATTAGAACTCTTGATGTATAACTTATCACTAAAATTTAGATTACTATCATTTTGTCGGTTTTGGATTTTTAATAAAACATGTGATTTTAGAAACATAGATGTGAAAATGTTTCTACTTTTAATACGAAAATTTTAAATACGTTCAAGATTATGAAACTACATTCCTGAATTCTGGATCGTTTCATCAATGATGTTATATCAGCGTTAACAACTGGGAAAATATCTTATTAAACTGCATCGTATTATCATTGTATAAAGCCTGATAAAAAAGAAATGAATTGTCACAGAAAATGATTGAATCTGGAAAGCTTGTGAAAATACTTGATTAATTCATATCAGGGAATATCACACATTTCTTGTAATCATTTCATCATCAACGAAAAAACTCTTCTTTTTTTTCTTTCAAGATGAAAGAACTTTTTTAAAAATATGATGAAGGTGCGTATCAAATCATGACTGATATTTTCATATGAGCGTATAAACGTTCGAAGGTTAATCACCACCAATGTGTTTAGTTCGATTTCCAATAATTTTGCAAAATGAAGACATTGCTGGTTTGGTTCTCGAGGCTCTTAAAATGATGAGGGTTGACGATTCCGCCCTGTTCGTACAATGGAACGATCCGGTTTTCAGCACCGCAAATGGAAGACGAAACAATATCGCAGGCCAGATCAAGGCAGTGTCATAAACCGCATAACTAGTAATGGCGGAAGAGATATCGATAATAAAAGCATGGTCTTCATATTCCAAAAGGTTGAACATTTGGCCGATTGCGCACACGGATTTCCTGTCTGGTGAGAAAATTTTTAATCTCACGTGCTTTGATCTTTTAATATCGGGTATTCTTTATTCTTTTTGATAAAGGACACGCCGACAAATAGAGTTTCCAGATATTGCTCACGCTGTAATTAGAATAAATAAACTTTTAGCGTCGGGAAGTTTCGAAGTGGAAAAATGTGATTAACCTTTCAATTGGCCATAATGTTGACGATACATTCTTTTTTTACTTGAGCAAAAATATAGTTATAATTTTTTTTTAGTATCAAGGCAGTGTCATAAACCGCATAACTAGTAATGGCGGAAGAGATATCGATAATAAAAGCATGGTCTTCATATTCCAAAAGGTTGAACATTTGGCCGATTGCGCACACGGATTTCCTGTCTGGTGAGAAAATTTTTAATCTCACGTGCTTTGATCTTTTAATATCGGGTATTCTTTATTCTTTTTGATAAAGGACACGCCGACAAATAGAGTTTCCAGATATTGCTCACGCTGTAATTAGAATAAATAAACTTTTAGCGTCGGGAAGTTTCGAAGTGGAAAAATGTGATTAACCTTTCAATTGGCCATAATGTTGACGATACATTCTTTTTTTACTTGAGCAAAAATATAGTTATAATTTTTTTTTAGTAGCAAATTGTCATCACAATCGATTTTTTTAAAAAAAATGTTTTTTTAACTTATCCAAACTCGAAAATATTATATTCGTTTGCTAAAAATATTAAAAATCTTAAATTATTATTATTGCCGTAAGAAAGAAATTATTCAATATTGGTTAATAGTGTGATTGGGATAATTCACACATTTGTTTATTAACAACAGTTTACTTTCCATAATGAATATTATAGTAATTATTTGGACATCTAATTCATCTTTTGTTTGCAATTGATCGATTCAATCAACATTTTTTATCATTACAAAAAAAAAGTGTGGCACGCGTTCAAAAAAAAGAATGACCTGTTTATTATTATCATTAAAAGCTTCATAAGCTTGTTTGGACATTTTAAACATTTCGTCTAAATACTATTTTGACTTTAGTCATCATATCCTAGAACAATTTAGACTCCCATCTATAGTCGTGATAATAAATCAGCCAAATCTGAACAATAAACAAAAAAATTAATATCACAAATTGCAAAAATGTGTGGAGGATAAGACTTTTTTTTAAAGAACCAAGATCGCTTTTAATCATAACAAAATCGTCAAGGCTTGAATATAAGTGACTGTACAGAATATTGTTATTATGGTAATAAAGAAATAATTAGAAGTCGTAGTCAGTTTAACATTTAGAACAATACGTTCATTTAATCAACGAGAAGAACAATTAGCATTTGTATAATATAATATAACAATATTAATATTTAATTATTATTCATTCTGCAAAACACTCCATATTAAATAAATATACAGCTAAAACAATATGAAATACTAGTCACGCGATATTGTTAAAAAGAAGTATACACGCTAAAAAAAAAATCAAAACAAACAAAAGATACTATATAACTAAATCAATGAATAAAATATCAAAATAAAATTTTTTTAATTTGAAATTTTAAATAAATAAATATTCAATATGTTAATCTCTTTACTTTTTCATGAACCATACAGTTTCTAGTTTCCACTTAGATTCACGAACATCAATTCTCTATTTTCAGTAAATCTAACTATTGGCAATATTACATATTGCTGGTCAAACACCATGATTTCATCTTCGCTGCCATAATATTTTTTCTAGTAGCTTTTGAATAAAATTCAACAATGATGCTAAATCCTCATTAATGTTTTAACATTATTCGCGCATCACGTTTTAATTCCAACTTATCTAGTACTAAACAACCTTGATAAGTATCTTTAATTGACCAATTTTGATTAGTTCATAGTCTTTTGGCTTGATATATATGAATTTTACTTAAAAACACAAGATTTGCACTAGTAACTATCTTGTAATTTAATAAATGAATATTATCCAAGTATATTATATATATCGTAGCTTGAATTCCATCATTCGGATATTGTGGCGAAAGTTTCAACCCACTCATGATTTTCAATGTTTTTTCAGACACAAATCTAATATCATTTAACATGCCAATAAGATCTATAGAATTAGAATTAGAATTAGATCAATATATCAAATAGACAAATTAATAATAATAATAGTTATTTTTTACCTGTCTAAAAACTGTCGATTATTGTATTATATGTTTTATACGTTGAATCCATGAGTTCGATTCATAACAAAACTTGTCATTGCGATCTTTAGAAACTGGTGATAGTTGAATCACCCATGACTACTGATTAATAATAAAATACACAAATATAAATATTACTAATATTCCACCAAACGGTCTATGATTATTGCGAATAGCTTGTGCGATTTGCTTCCAGTTTATTAAATAATTTACCATCGATATTGTGAACATATAAGATAATTAAATAATTAATAAATAATCAAATGATGATGACTATTATTATTATTTCCCGTCAATCAGATGAAAAAAATTCAATAATATGAATTTTTGATCTTGAACTTTTTTAATAAGCTCTTTTGTTTGCTCGGTGCCTAGTCCTATTCCCGCGAAAGAGTGTAGAGTTGATGTGAACTGCTGCTATGCCAGTCGTAGTAGTTACAACAATATCTTCAACTCCATAAATATTTTTAAGAGCCAAGATGATTATTAATAATAGAAGGCTTTTTCCGGTTCCTGCAGAGCCTGTAAAAAATACATTCTCGCGTTTATATTAACCACCAGGTCATAAACTAGTTGTTGTTTTTCTGATGGTTTCACGTCTATTGATTGGGTATCGTATTTGAAATAAATAGAGAGAGAGGATCTTTGTTGTTGATTAGATGATATTTTATTCAAATATTTTTTATTGATATTGGTTGCCAATCGTCTTCATCTGACCAATCAACAATCTTTTCCTTTTCCTTTAACTTCTTCATGCCTTATTATTATTATTATTATTATTATTATTCTTCTTCTTCTTCTTCTTCTTCTTCTTCTTCTTCTTCTTCTTCTTTAAGAGAATTACAATCACTATGATCACAATTACTATTATGAGAAGAAGGAAAAGGAAAAAGATAATCTATTTTTCAAAAAAAAAAAGATCGCCGTGTCACATCATATTATTGATTTTAATTTGATCACGTTATTCACTTCTAAACTTTTTTTTTCTCATTCCAGCATTCTATTAAATATATTGAGACAAAGATTTGATTATAAAAGGTTCAACTAATTTACAACTATGATAATATTTAAAAAGTATGCTCCCTGGACAAAGTTTCTGTCACCATAAAACGATTGAAAAAATACAGCCTGCCAAAAAAAATAAATTGCTCGAAACTTACATAATAACCACACCCGAAATTTTGGCATATGATAATAATAAGTTGGAATTTGACAAAACGCGCTTGTATAATCGTATATGTTTTTGTTATTTAAAGCTTTATAAATTTTTTTAATGTTCACAAAATTAAAAATTTAAATAAAAAAAATGTCAAAATTAAAAGAGCCTGAACGTGGTCAAGTTATCAGACTTATAAAGACGGATGCACAATCCCATGTATTTCTAAGGTACTTGGCCTTGCTAGAACTAGTGTAATTAGAATGATAAAAAGCTTTCAGAAAGAGATCGGGTTGAAGAGTTACTAAGAATGTATGTCCTCACTTTTGATTATTGATCAAATAGAAAACTGTTATTACAAATAATGGGCAGCCAACAAAACATTGTCCATCCTTTATTATTGTTGTTTGCAATTAAAAAACTTGGAATTCTACGTGCATATTTTGAGACAGAATGTTATAAATTATTTATCTTTTTATCGTGTATATTTTTGCGGAATTATTTGATTTGTAGCGGCCGGAACTTTGGAAGTCATTGAATAATAATTATTGAACCAATTACTATCATCATTGATAAATTTACATTATTTTTATTTTCACCCATTGCTCTACTACCCATTAAGATTAAGATTATAAATAAATATACTAAAAATTTCGTATTGTAATTAATTATTATTATTATTATTATTACTATTATTATTATTATTACTATTATTATTATGTCAATTTTTAATTCTGATTTCTTTTATTTCATCCTTCTCTGGTATCTTGTTGCAAAAGGTCCAAAATTACTACAGTAGTTTCTAAAGCTATTGCATTCCACAACAATTTATTTAAATAACTATTCAAATCAAACCAGAAGGCGATTTCTAAATAAAGTAAAATATGTGAGAAAATCATTATAGCAGTAAAAATACCGATCGGAATCCAAACGTAATCGTTCCATCTGTTCCGTCCATTTTGATCATCCTTACGTTTAAATTTTTGCAAAAATCCTTTCAAATTGTTTTTTCCTTTCATTTCAAGGCCATACTTAACAAAACCTAATGAACCGATCAACGATACTATTGAAATAATAATGATCCATAATAACATCTCAGTTGTGATATTGTCATAATTTGTGCACAGAAAAGCTAAAACCATGCATGTGGAGAAGAGTGTATACACGGGAGCTAATATGTCCTCTGCAAAATTTATCCGTTTATTTTTACTATATAAAATAAAAAAAATTTGCATTTAATTTGAATTACTTGCTAATTTCATTTATAATAAAATTTTGTAAAATTTCTACCTATCACCACCATCATCTTCCTTTAACTTTCTTTCAAAGCCAATAGCTTCAATTTCTTTATTTTCTTTTAAATATTTTTCACGATTAATTCCAATTTCCTCCTCGTATTCTCTAATTTCCTTCAAAGCCCGTATTTCTGCACTGTCTGCTTCTGTTTCAAGTTTAACATCAATGTTTTTATTAATTTCATGAATTAAAAAAATTATCGTGGTTATCAAATTCATTACACCATAACATACAAACATTATCGTCCAACTCTTACTAGGATTAATACTATTTTCAAGAGCCAAAAAAGAATAAATTACTATAAACGTTGTGAATACATTTATGAAAAATCTTACAATATACTTTGCAACTAATGTGAAGTGTGCGGCTTTTAAATCTTTGGAGAAAGAAATGTAAACAAACAATGGTAAAAATAATGATAACAAGGTATCAAGTAAGCTATCTCCCCGAAAATCATCATTGCTTAAAGGTGCTGCTTTAGTGACGACAATAAACAGATTGATAATGAAAAGTATCAATATTTTTTTCATGGTTCAAATGATTTTAAGATCTTTGATTCATTAAAGTCGGACATTCAATTCTTTTTATATTTTTTTTTTTTATCATTATGATAATCATTGTCATTGTCTTTACTCTTTTGGAAAACATACAACCATACCACATTTCCTCAAATGGCAAATAAAATAAACAAGAATAACGCTTTTGTAAAGAATGTTACATGAATATTATTAAATTCTTAGCCAAGTATGATGCACACTTGACTCTATAATAAAGGCAAATGTTATTATTAATATCGATATTTAAAAGAAAGTTGTGAAGCAAAATAATTTTTAAATGGCGACGAAGAATAAAGCAATTTCTGAAATACACAAAGAAATGGGGTTTCTAAATTGTGAATATAGCTTTCATAGAT